AAATGAAGGTCAGTAGTTATTAAAAATCTTTAAAATATGTATGCAGGCAAGTAATTTGTAAATATCAACTCATTATGTGTCTGCAAGTCTGAAAAAGGGTCAGGGTAGCTCAGTGGTGGAACAAACACTTGCCCAACGTGTGTGAGGACCTGGGTTTGATTCCCAGCAATGCACATGCATACACATGCACACGCACATATATGCTTGTGTGCACACACCCCCACACACAAAATCTCAGGAGAATGAACATATTTTAAAGAAATGATGGGAAAGAGGGTCAGAGTTCTAAACTGAATCCGAATTGTAGAGAGCAATGGGCACAGAACTGAGGAATCGTTACTTTAATCCAAAGACCTGCCAAGCCTGGTTCCTGCCTGTTTTGTCCATAAAGTTTTATAGGAACACAGCTTTGCCTGTTTGTTCAGATATTATTGATACCTGCTTTTTGCACTGTGAGGCTTAGAGTAGGGTTGTGGCAACAGAGACCATATGGTCCTATTCTTACTGAAAAAGTTGCCCCCTATGATTGACAGTGTTGAAGGTTCCCGCCCAGGAGAAGCTGGAAGAGGTGTCACTGAGGTTGCTGGAGACTGAGTGATGGCCTCCCAGGGCAGATAGGAGCCCCGTTGCCATTCTGTACAAGGCCACCAGGGTCTGAATAAAGGCAGTGGCAACTGTGTTGGAGAGGCGAGGACGGGACAGGAGATGTGCCAAAGGAAAACAGAATGTGGAGCCTGAGGAGAGAAAGGAGGTGGAGAGGGAGCCCCAAGGCCACCCAGAGGCTCTGAGCTGGAGTCACCAGATGCATGTGGGAGAAGCAGGCTGGCACGGGGTGACCCAAGCTGAATTTTAGACATATCAAGCTGGGTGGGGATGTGGTGCCCAGTCTGGGAAGAAAGGCAATCAGATGGGTGGCAATACGCAGTGGGAGCAGGGTTTCTCAGGGGTACAGTGATGACAACATGGTGGCAAAGTCATATGTTTAATGTAAATGGTGATGGAACCTGCCCATGACAGCACTCCAGAGAGGGTCCCTGCTCTCTGTGCTCTGATTTTCCAGGGCAGGCCAGGAGCTGCAGATTGTTCTCCAAACACAACACCACTGCCCATGTTTTGTGTGGTCAGGACCTTCTCTTCTCCTTTGTCCCTCCCTCTCAGGGACTGGGACATCAGGCACCTGAGGCAAAGGCAACTCACCACAACACCCGGTGGCCCCTGAACTCATTCTGCAGACACTAAATTGCTCCAAGTCTGGCTCCTTACTCCCTTGGCTCTCTATAGCTCTGTGCTTGGCTCTGGCTTTTTTTTTTTTTTTTTTCATAACAGGGACCAAACACGGGGGTACTTAGCCACTGAGCCACATTCCCAGCTCTTTATATTTTTATTTTTTAAATTTTGAGACAGAGTTTGACTAGGTTGCTTTCAGTCTCACTCAATTGTTGAGGCTGGCTTTGAACCTGAGATCCTCCTGCTTCAGTCCCTGGGATTATAGGCGTGCGCCTCCACACCTGGCTTCTGACTGGCTTTCCAGTCTTGCTTCATCCTGCACCCTTGCTTCCTGTGCCCAGGGAAGTGCCAATGCTTTTGTTCCTGGAAATCTCAAGTTCTTTTTTTTTTTTTCACAAGAGCCGCTTGGACTTGAGAAAAAAACTGTTCTTCCTACAACTCCCCAAAGCCTGACTCCGCAGTTGGCATGCATTCCTGAAATTTTCCAGAATGTTCCTGGGTCCTCAGTCCTCAGGCTGCTCAAGTGTCTCTTGCTTTATTTCTCATGAATTCTCTTCATTCCAGTGCTTCCTCAGGCTCCCATGAACCCAAAGCACCCACATCCTTTCACTCTTGACTATTTCCTCATCTCAGGCACTCCAGTGACTCTTAAATTACTTCACTTGGCCCCTAAATCTGATCTCCATATGCCATTCTTCCACCCCCTCCCACGGGTTTCCTTGCTCTTCCTTCTGTATGCAAACTTTTGCAAAAATTCGCGAGAAACATCCATAAATGTTAACATACCTATAATCTATATACAGGTCAGCCAGACCCTGGGCAGAGTGCAGCATGAGAAATGAAACTAATTATGGCAGTAAATAAACTATTGGTATTGAAACTCCTGGGTGGGATATCATAGTCTTGGAATTGACCTTAGAAAAGTTATTTTTGTCATAATTTTGAAAGGTCATCTTATAATTCATTAAAATACACGTTCATTTTTTTTCCAACTGAAGCATCTGTGTAAGATTTCTTGTTATATATATTTTCCCTTGTCACTGCTTTGTGACGTGCTCCTAGATGCTTTGACAGCTGGCAAGCTCCAGGGAGGTGGCTGCAGAGCCGCCTAGCATTTCTTTAGCCAGACATGTAAGCTATTTCAGCCGTGACCTTTGTGTGCTCACCCCTGACTTCTACACCAAGTGGCAGAGGCCAGGCATTTCTCGTCCCTGTTTTTTTTTTTTTTTTTTTTTTTTCTCATTTACATCCAAAGTATCCTGAGAAGCCAATTCTATTGTTAAGAACAAACTGATTACACTGAATAGGGACACAAAATGGATGAAATGGATTCCACTCAAAAAGGGGAGTCCTAATTTTCACTATTAACCTAAAACAATTCCACTCTTCTGGGTTTGTATTTGGAAGCATCGCATTTTATGAGAAGCCTGTTGTGTCCCAGTGAGGCTGATTCTGCTTGCTTAATCTCATGTGGTTTTTAGCAAGCATTAATTTGCAAAAGCATGAAAAACTATGAACAAAAATTTGAAATATGATCCCCCACTGAGGCTCAAATTAAAAAAATGCATATAAATTATTTTTCTACCTTTCCTTTCTCCTTGAAAATTGACTTAGAATGTGAGCTCTTTCTTTAAGAAAGACCAAGACAATTCTTTTAAAGGCAGAGACTAAAACAAATATGGAAAAATCTGTTAAGTGTTCTCCAGCCAGGCACAGTGGCAAATGCCTGTAATCCCAGCAGCTTGGGAGGCTGAGGCAAGAGGATTGTGAGTTCAAAGCCAGCCTCAGCAACTCAGCGAGGCCCTTAGCAACTCAGGAAGACCTTGTCTTTAAGTAAAATATAAAAAAGGGCTGGGGATGTGGCTCAGTGGTTGAGCACCCCTGAGTTCAATCCTCAGTACCCCCACTAAAAAAAAAAAAAGCTTTTCCATTAAATTTGAAATGGTGGGAATGCAGGTACTTTAATATGCTTTCCACTGTTTGTGGGATTTTTTTTCTTAATGTGGAAAAATTAGAACTATAATTTGCAATAAGATAAAAATTGTAATATATGGCTGCATAATATCCAGCAGTTTTTTTCCTCTTTAAGGAAGAAGTTCAAAAAAAATTTAAATAGTGCATAGTAGTTGTTAGCAAATTTGATGAACTCAATTGTTGAATCTTATTTATTTGCCCCAAGAGTACTCTATTGACAAAAACTAGTTTAATAAGCCATCAGACTAAAAAGATTTCCATATGGTAGTAATTTAAAACATAAAGGGGTAGCATTTTTTTCTTTTTTTGGTCAGGTTCACTAAGTCCACTACTTAGCACATCTAAATATATATATATATCTCCATATTTGTGTAGGTATATATGTAGATTATTTTCTTGGTGAAACTATATACCATGTATTTCATGACATATGCACAAAGTATTAACTATTTTATGTAATATTGTGGTATTTTGTGTGGTTACATCATACTGTATGTGCATCCACGACTTATGGGTAAGGTAAATGGGGGAAGCTGCCCTCTGTTGCTGCACCAGCAGGTGACCCTGTCTGTGCGCAGTACCCTCTCCATTTCCACAGTCCTAACAGCACATGTATTTCTCCAGTGCACGTTCTCCAGTGATTTAAGATAACAATCTCCGCACAGAGTCATATGCAGTTACTGGGCATTGGGCATCGTGCATCATGCAAAGAGAGAATCCTCCTACATTCTGTCCACGTTTTCTGGGGGAAAGAGCAGTGAACAGTGGGCGCTGGCAACACACATGGTCTGCAGGTTTCACCCGCTCTCACTCTCAGGCGGCTCAAGAGCCTTGACTGACAGCACAGCCATCCTGCCCCTTGGCCACCCAACAGTGCGACTGTGCCATGCAAGCGGTTTCTCTAGGAAAGAAGCATACCCAACCACACATCCCTGCCCTGCAGGATGCATACTGGAGAGAGACCTCTGGTGCCATGGGAAGGGTCACACTGGCCTGGACAATGCACTAAGGGAGCCGTCAGCACTGCAAGGGGGAGGTTGTGAGCGATGTGAAGGAGTGTCAGCAAGGCAGAGCTGGGGCGGAGTCAGAAGCAGAGGAGGCATCAGTGAGGCAAAGGGAGGGGCGGAGCCAGAGGCAGAGGTGCGGTCAGAAGGGCAGGGGCGGAGTCAGTGAGAAGAGTGAAGAGAATTTGGAGAAGTGGAGTCAGTGAGAGAAGAAGGTCACTCACAGGGGCCAGAGTCAGAAACAGGGCTGAGTCAGAGGGCGGGGAAGAGTTAGTGCCTCAGTGGGGCAGAATCAGAGTGGGGCACAGTCACAGGTGGAGTAAGAGATGGAGGCGCAGTCAGTGAAAGCTTTGGGGCAGTCAACCAGTGGGGGAGCCTGGTGAGGGGCGGAGCCAGAGGGTTATGGGTGGAGTCACAGAGCTCTGGGACACCTTCAAGGGCCAGAGTCAAAGACAGAGGCGGAGTCAGTGAGACTGAGGCAAAGTCAGAAGGAGGAGCAGAGGAAGAAGGAAGGGAGGAGTCAGTGAGGGGAGGAGTCATAGTCAATGAGCCAATGGGGTGGAGTGGGTGAGAGGGCGGAGTCAGAGGGAGAGGGAGGAGTCAGCAAGCAAAGGGGCTGAAGGGGGAGGGCGGAGTCAGAGTGAGGGGAGGAGTCAGCGGCAGGGCGGAGTCAGCTGGGAGGTTATCCTAACGGTCAGTCGCCGCAGCGCTGAGGACCGTGGAGACGCTGAGGTGCCCCAGGGCCTTCAGGAGCAAACACCGGGAAGCAGAGGGTGAGCAGGGCACCAGTAGAGCTACTGGTGACGCTGGGCTCAGACCAGAGCAGTGGGGCTGCAAAGGACAGGGGGCGAGAGGACCTGTAGGGAAGAGAAGGGCCAGGGAGTGTGGGACCATGGTCGTGAGCAGGAGACCTGGGCGGGATGAGCACCACGACTCCGAACCCTTTGGGTTCTACCCTACTCCACTCAGACTCCCTAAACCTCACTCCTCCTCATCCTTCTCACTCCTCCTCACCCTTCCCTATCCCTCCCCACTCCTCCCCACCCCTCACCACCCCTCTCCACCCCTCCTCACCCCTCTTCACCCCTCCTCACTGCTCCTCACTCCTCCTCCCCATTCCTTCCCATTCCTTCTCACTCCTCACTCCTCCTCACTCCTCCTCACTCCTCCTCACCCCTC